CATATGTCTCTGGATCCTTTCAAGCTGCTGCACCAGCACTGGAGCTCAGAGGGAGTGAGTCTGAGTAAGTCTGTGCATGGGCCCTTTAAGAGGAACTGCCTGGGACTCCAGCAGCCTCTGTGTCACTCAGCAATAATCCCCACACAATCTTCATGGATTTTACAGCCTGAAGTTACAGGGACTTCTCTTCCCAGGACTGGATCCCTGGGCTGAGGGGTCTGGTGTGGGACTGGGACCCCTTGCTCCTCAACGGAGACCTCCACAGCCAAGATATGCCTCCTGGTTAAAAAAAATGCCACATGTGGGTGTTGAACCAGCCTGTTCCTTGCCTCCACCCCTCTTACCAGTCTCAATGTACTTTACCCTTTAATTTGCTAGTTGTAGGACTGCCATTCAGCCAGATTTCAGACAGCTCTGAATGATGGTTGTTCTGTAGTTTAGCTGTAATTTTGATGTGGTTGTGGGAGGAGGTGAGTACTGTGTTTACCTACACCTCCATCTTTCTCTTCTCCAATTACTTTTGTCTCTAGAAGTGGACTGGGCCAGTACAGTCTCACAGTATCTATGTAATTTTACCATGTAATATTCATAACTGATCTATCATAAGAATTAGGGCTATAAAGAAGTAGAGTACAATTTCATGTAGTGAATTGTGGGGATATTCAAGTCAAAGTTGGACAACTACTTAGCTGGGAATGTTGTACAGTTTTCAGTGATGCATGGAATAAGTGGATTGTCCCAGTGGTTTTTAAACTTGCCTGAACATCAGAATCACCTACAAGATTTTATTTGTTTGTTATTTTTTTGTTAATCCTCACTTGAGGATATTTTTTCCATTGATTTTTAGAGAGAGTGGAAGGAAGGGGGAGAGACAGAGAGAGAGAAACATAGATGTGAGAGAGTCACATCTGTTAGTTGCCTCCCGTACACGCCCCAACCAGGGCTAGGGATTGAGCTTGCAACCAAGGTTCGTGTCCTTGGTTGGAATCAAACCTGTGACCTTTCAGTCCACGGGCTAGACACTGAGCCAAACTAGCTGACGTTACAAGTTTTTTTTTAAGTTTTATTTTTCTTAAAAGCAATATGCAGTTTACAAACTCAAATTATATCAAACAACTTATAAAAAAATTTAAATATACAAACATTAAATATTTGCATTGTTATACCTATGCAAATATTCATAACCAAATATTATGAATATTATGAGTTATAACAAAATGTATATTGTAGTCTACATTATTTCCTTTCTTTTCATTTCTTCTGAAGTTAATAATTGTCTTGATTTTTAATTTTCTTAGTTTGTGTACTAGTTGCCAATTCTTTCTACACCTCCTACAGCCTCTCAAAATGATTACCACAAGGTCAGTCCCATCAGACAACCTATTAGTTCCTTTGGAAAAAAACTTGAGGCATCTGTTTTGAAGTCTTCCACTTTCCTTCTCCCTGAGCTGGTCACTCGCAAGGCTTGCTGCACTCCAGACATACTGTGTATTTCTTTTGCTGCCATTCTTGATTTCCCTTGCCTCTCTCTCTCTTGGATTCCTTGTTTCTAACCTCATATCTTTTTTCTGTCTTGCTTTCCTTCCTTGTTTTGGTAAAGTACATCCTCCAGTAGTTTCATCAGATTGATGGTGTAAATGCAAAGTAATGGAGAGACACTTCTACCTCTTGACTTCTAGTGTTCCAACCTGGACTGGTTGTCTTCTGTGTGTTGTGAGCAGCTGCATTCTATAGGACCTTCTTCCCTTCACCCAGGAGATTTCCTTTGCTTGGTTGACTTCTCCTTTCTTGGATTACTTTTTTTTTGTTTTGTTAGATGACATGCTCTGTAGTCTTATGAAAAGAGATAAACTTTTTTTGTTGTTGAGATTTTGCAAAATTGAAAATTCTAATGATTATACTTTATGCCAGATGATAGTTTGACTGCTTATAGAATTTACGGTAGCCATTAATGCCATTCATGAATATTTATAGTTCTTCCTTTTCTGGACACATGACAGCTAGCATTGCAGTGTGACTTGCTTTAGACAACAAAACGTGAGTAGAAGTAGAAGGTATTTTATGGGCAGCAGACTCTAAGAAGTGGTGTACAATTTACCGCGTTTCCTCTCTGCCACTATGACTGATGTATTTGAGATGCTGGAGGCTCCATCAGCCTGGGTTCCCGGGGGGAGAGTGACTTGGGGCATATCTCTCCCTTCTATGCAGCAAGAAATAAAAGTTTCACTGTTAGGCATATATGGGTTGTTGATTGTCACATCATAATCTAGCTTATCCTGACTGAGACCAAGATACAGTCCTGGAGATGGAGAACTAATAAAATTGTAGGTGGTCTATTGTAGGGGCTGTGCAGTGACTGTAAGAAGCGTGATTAGACGTTGTAATGATGGCATTTTACATTGGGTAGTGTGAAATATTTAATGAATTGCCTGGGAATCAGATACCATTATTAAGAAAGTTTAAACTCAAGATGAAGATATGAGGAAACAGTTTGCTAGCATATGTTTGCTTATTATTTACTGTGCTTGGCAAATTTGTAAGAAAAAGTGTGCTCTGAAGAGAATTGGCCAATATGCAAGCAGGAAAGAAAGTGCATAGAGAGTTCCCAAAAATTCAGAGTCTTGAAATATTTGGAAAAGTCACTTCATTTTAGACTCCAAATAATAGGAGAAAAAATTAAAATGAGCTTTGAATGACAAAAGGCCACTTAAAATTCATTGTTGTGGCAAGGGTCAAAATAAGGGCATGGGCCCTAGCCGATTTGGCTCAGTGGACAGACCGTCAGCCTGGGGACCAAAGGGTCCCGGGGTTCGATTCTGATCAAGGGCAGGCTCCTCCCCGGCCTGGGCCCAATGTTTCTCTCACATTGATGTTTCTCTCTGTCTTTCCCTCTCTCTTCCACTCTCTAAAAATCAATGGAAAAATATCCTCAAGTGAGGATTAACAAACAAAAAGTTAAAAACAAAACAAAAATAAGGGCAAGGTTCTCACACCCACTGTTAAAGTTAAAATGTTTTAGGTAAAAAGCCCCCAGGATGTGGCACTCAGTTATCCCTTTACTAGGACAAATGTCTCAAGGAAAATAGACGAAGTCCGTGGATCTCCCACTTAATCCTGATAAACTCAAGTACACTGATCTTGAGATGAAGAGAGAATGGGTGGAGATGAGAAATCAAAGACATAGAACTCTGGGTTCTATATCTCTCAAAGAAGTATGGGCATGGTTACTGAATGTTATTGCTGACAAAATCAAATAGGTAAAAAGATAAGATATTGAAGAGTTGTATTGCTCAAAAGACCACCAGTCTGGACTGAGAAAGAGATTCAAGAACCTGAAACAACCCTGTCTACCAGCAGGAAGGTCTAAGAAAGAGGCTCAGCACTTGAGGAGAGCATGTTCAGATATGGCCCAGGAGAATAATGGAAAAGAAAGAATTTCTTAGAGGAAAGAGCCAGTAGCAGTGGAGTGTAATGGACAAAGGAGTTATTCCTGAGGTGCATAATGGAAGCTCAGACCAGCCACATCCCTGCTCCCAGGAATGGAGCCCTCAACTGTCACCCAGGAGGATTCAGAATCGCTGTGGACAGGGTCTTGGACTTCCATTCCTCCTTTTCTCTGGTTATCCTATTCCCGTGGTCGCAAACTGTGGCTCGCGAGCCACATGCGGCTCTTTGGCCCCTTGAGTGTGGTTCTTCCACAAAATACCACGTGCGGGCACGCATGTACAGTGCAATTGAAACTTCGTGGCCCATGCACAGAAGTCGGTTTTCGGCCTGGGCGAGTCTATTTTGAAGAAGTACTGTTGATATTTGGCTCTGTTGACTAATGAGTTTGCCGACCGCTGTCCTATTCTGTTTCATCACTGCATATTGAGTATGTGGAGCAGAAAACTTATTTTCAGCTGATAGGTCTCCTGACTAAGAGGAGAGCCACACCAAGATGTGATGTGTGTAGCACAACACCTCCCCCAGGGATGCTGAACTTGGTGTGTGTTGCTACGATTAGGTGGAGATTTTGGGTTGTTGCCCTTTGGGGAGAGGGTGAGTACATGCTGCTTGGTGAGGATAGTGAACTAAATGTTTAGTGACCTGAGGATGGACTGGTAATTATATATTTATCTAGTTCTTTTCTTTTTGGGGCCATGGTAGGGTTGCACTTATCTGACTATTTGAAGTTAGGCAAGTCCATGTAACTAACCATGGCCAATGAAATGTGAGCAGATGTGATGTGTGCCACTTCCTGACAGTTTTTTTAAAGAGCTGGTGACGAAATGATTTGTCCTATTTTCTTTTCTACTGTGAGGATAGGTGGATACCCCACGAGCTGGGCTCCTGCTGAATTGAGGTCGACACACAGCATCTGAAATGTGGAAGTTGTTTGTTACTACAGCATAACCAAGCTTATCCTAACTGATACAGAATTATGTTTTGTAATTTTTTAAAAAAATGTACAAGTTAAATATATTGCTCCAGTACCTTCTTGAGTTTAGTATTGGTGTTGACGGTCAAAACCATTCTGATTCCTGTTACATTGGTTGTGACCTCTTTTTTCCTTTTTGGATTTCCTCTTTAAACTTGGTATTTGTAAGTATGTGTCCCTGTGTGAATTTATTTTCATCAGTTATGATGCACCTTTTCAAGTTGGAAATTCATGCTCTTTAGTTTTGGGAAATTTTTATGAATAATTTAAAAAATTTATTTATTTTTCAATTATAGTTGACATTCAATACTATTTTATATCAGTCCCAGGTGTGCAGCATAGTAGTTATGACTTTATATAATTTATGAAGGGATCCCCTGATCAGTCTAGTACCCTCCCGGTACCATACACAGTTATTACAATATTATTGACTATACTCCCTATGCTGTATTTTGCATCCACGTAACTATTTTGTAACTACCAATTTTTACTTCTTAATCCCTTCACCCTTTTCACTCAGTACCCCCACCCCCTCCTATGTGGCAATCATCAGTCTGATCTCTGTGTTTATGAGTCTGTTTCTGTTTTGTTTATTTGTTTATTTTGTTCTTTAGATTCCACCATAAGTGAAATCATATGGTATTTGTCTTTGCATAATATCCTGGAGGTCCATGCATGCTGTCACAATGGTAAGATTTCATTCTTTTATGGCTGAGTAATATTCCACTGTATATAAGTGTGTCCCCCCAAAATGTATACACACTTTAACAACTGATAGCTCAATTTTGAAAGTGAAATGTATTTTTTTTAAATATATATTTTATTGATTTTTTACAGAGAGGAAGGAAGAGGGATAGAGAGTTAGAAACATCGATGAGAGAGAAACATCGATCAGCTGCCTCCTGCACACTCCCTATTGGGGATGTGCCCACAACCAAGGTACATGCCCTTGACCAGAATTGAACCTGGGACCCTTCAGTCCACAGGCTGATGCTCTCTCCACTGAGCCAAACCAGTTAGGGCAAAAATGAAATGTATTTTGATAAACACTGCCTTTATAATAATTCAAAGTGTGTGTACACATTTTTTGGGGGTACACCCTATATGTACCACCTCTTTATCCAATCATCTATTGATGGGCACTTAAGCTGCTTCCATATATTGGCTATCCTATACAATAAAGAGGTAATATGCACATTGACCATCACGCCCTCACACAAGATGGCCACCCCCATGTGGTCACAAGATGGCCACCACAAGATGGCCAGCAGGGGAGGGCAGTTAGGGATGACTGGGCTGGCAGGGGAGGGCAGTTGGGGGTGACCAGGCCTGCAGGGGAGGGCAGTTGGGTGGGGACCAGGCTGCAGGGGAGGGCAGTTGGGGGTGACCAGGCCTGCATGGGAGAGCAGTTGGGAGCTACCAGGCTGGCAAGGGAGGGTAGTTGGTGGGGGCAGGCCTGCAGGGGAGGGCAGTTGGGGGCAATCAGGCTGGCAGGGGAGCAGTTAGGCATCGATCAGGCTGGCAGGGGAGTGGTTAGGAGGTGATCAGGCTTGCAGGCAAAAGTGGTTAGGGGCAATCAGGCAGGCAGGCAGGTGAGTGGTTGGGAGCCAGCAGTCCCAGATTGTGAAAGGGATGTCCAACTGCTGCATTAGGCCCGATCTTTGTGGGGCCTAAATCGACAGTCGGACATCCCCCGAGGGGTCCCAGATTGGAGAGGATGCAGGCTGGGCTGAGGGACAACCCCCCCCCCCCCCGTGCATGAATTTCATGCACCGGGCTTCTAGTTGTAAATAATGCTGCAACAGACAGAGGGGAGCATATATCTTTTTAAATTAGTGTTTTGTATTTATTTGGATATATAACCAGAAGAAGAATTACTGGGTCATAGGTAGATCTATTTAAAAAAAATTTTTTTTGAGAAAGCTTCATTCTATTTTCTTTCTTTCTTTTTTTTTTTTTAAGGTCTCACACATTTATTACTGAACCAACCTACTACTGCAGAAAAAAAATCAAAAGAGCAAAATCATGAATCTAATAATTTTCCAATTAAAATGCCCCAACTGTCCTGACAGTAGTGGTCTTTTCAATCATTTAAAGGTGCAGGCAATCTGGACACAGCATAATCACACACTCTCATGTGTGATTCCTCATAGGCCCAGTTTGGTTCTTCTCCAATGTCTCCTCTTCGAGTTGTACCTGATTTCATTACCAGTTTTCATCGGAATCCATTGGGGAATGGCTGATTCTGCTTTTGTTTCTTGGCCAGGAACCTCTTGATCCCGAAAGTCTTGTGGGAAGACATGGCGAAGGAGAAGGAAACGCATGTGCCGTGATGGCAGAGAAAGAGCCATTCTGCTTCTACAGTGGCTGTACCAACCTGCTTGCCCACCAACAGTGCATGAAGGTGCCCTTTTCTGCACGTTTTTGCCAACATTGCTGTTTGTGGATTTATTGATGATAGCCATTCTGATAATCACATTGTAGTTTTAATTTGCATTTCTCTGCTGATTAGTGACATTGAGCATCTTTTCATATGTCTACTGGCCATCTGCATGTCCTCTTTGGAGAAGTATCTATTCAGGTCCTCTGCCCATTTTTAAATTGGATTGTTTGTCTTTTTGGTGTTGATTGGAGATCTTTATAATTTTGGATATTAATCTCTTATTAGATGTGTCATTGGTGAGTATATTCCTTCATTAAGTAGGCTGTCTTCTCATTTTGTTGATAGGTTCCTTTGCTATGCAAAACCTTTTTAGTTTGATGTGGTTCCATTTTTTTATTTGTTTTCCTTGTCTAAGAATATATATCAGGAAAATATTTTTAAGAACAATGTCAGAGGGTTTACTGCCTATGTTTTCTTCTGGGAGCTTTATAGTCTTGAGTCTTACATTTAAGTCTTCAATTCATTTTGAGTTTATTTTTATATATGGTGTAAGAAAGTGGTCTAGTTTCTTTTCTTTTTGCATCTATATGTCCAGTTTTCCCACTCCTATAATTTTAGGAATATTTGGAATAGATTTTCTTTACACCATTGTATATTCTCGCTTCCTTTGTCACAGACTAATTGATTGCATAGGCATGGGTTTATTTTTGAGCTCTCTATCCAGCTACATTGATCTATGTGTCTGTTTTTTATGCCAGTACCATGCTGTTTTGATTACTATAGTCTTGTAGTATAGTTTGCTGTCAGGTAGCATGAAATGATCAACTTTGTACTTTCTCAAGATTGCTATGGCTATTCAGGGTCTTTTGTGGTTCCATATACATTTTTTGGAATATTTGTTTTAGTTCTGTGAAAATGTCATTGGTATTTTGATAGGGATTGCGTTAAATCTATAGATTACTTTGGGAAGTATGGACATTTTAATGATGTTAATTCTTCCTATTCATGAGCATGGTATATGTTTCCATTTATTTGTATCTTCTTCAATGTCTTATAATTTTCCCAGTACATGTCTTTTACCTCATTGGTTAAATTTATTCCGAAGTATTTTTAATGCAATTGTAAATGGGATTGTTTTCTTAATTTCTTTTTCTCATAATTTGTTATTGGTGTATAAAAATACAACTGATTCTGAATATAATTTTGTATCCTGCTATTTTACCAAATTTATTTATCAGTTCCAATAGTTTTTGGTAGCCTCTTTAGGTTTCTGCCTATAAGCAGTATCATATCACCTGCAAATAATGACTATTTTACTTATTCATTTCTAGTGTGGATGCCTTTTGTTTTTTCTTTTTGTTGATTGCTATGGCAAGGACTTCCAATGCAATGTTGGATAAAAGTGGTAAAGGTGGATGTCCTTGTCTGGTTCCTGATCTTAAGGAAAGCACTTTTAGCTGTTTTTCACTGAGAATGTTAGTCATAGGTTTGTCATATATGGTCTTTGTTATGTTGAAGTATGTTCCCTCTATTTCTACTTTGCTGAAAGTTCTTATCATAAATGGGAGCTGGATTTTGTTAAATGCTTTTCTCTGCATCTATTGATATGATCATTTGATTTTTACTGTTTGTTTTGTTTATGTGGTGGATCACATTAATTGATTCATGGATATTCAACCAACAACCTTGCATCCCAGGAATAAATCACACTTAATCGTGGTGTATGATCTTTTCAATGTATTTCTGAATTTGATTTGCTAATATTTTGTTGAGATTTTTTCCATGTGTGTTCATTAAGGATATTTATTGGGATATACATTTTTTTGTTAATGTCTTTGTCTGGTTTTGGAATTAGGGTAATGTTGGCCTCATAAAATGAGCTTGGGAGCCTTTATTTCTTAAAATTTTTTTTGGAATTGTTTGAGAAGTATGTGTTAATTTTTTTTGAATGTTTGAGAAAATTCACCTATGAGACTGTTCGGACCAGGACTGTTGCTTATTGGAAGTTTTCTGATTACTGATTTCATTTCATTAGTAGTAATCCATCTGTTCAGATTTTCTGTTTCTTCTTGACTTAGACTTGAAAGATATGGCTCTAGGAATTTATCCATTTCCTGCAGTGTGTCCAATTTGTTGGCATGTAATTGTTTGTAGTGTTTTCTTACAACCCTTTGTATTTCTGTGGTGTTGGTATCACTTCTCCTCTTTTATTTCTAATTTTATTTATTTGGGTCCTTTCTTTTTTTCTTGGTGGGTCTGGTAAAAGATTTATCAAACTTGTTTATCTTTTTCAAAGAACCAGCTCTGGTTTCATGATTGATTGTACTATTTTTTTAGAATCTGTTTTATTTATTTTTCTTGATTTTATTATACCCTTCCTTTTACTCACTTTGGGCTTTGTTTTCTTTTTCTAGCTCCTTTTGGTGTAAGGTTATATTATTTATTTGAGATTTTTCTTGTTTCTTGAGGCAGGTCTGTATTGATATGAATTTCCCTCTTAGGATTGCTTTTCCTGTGTCCCATAGATTTTAGATTGTTTTGTTTTTACTTTCATTTGTCTCAAAGGTATCATTTTATTTTTTAATTTGATCTTATTGTTAACCCAATCATTGTTTGTAGCATGTTATTTAGCCTACATGTGTTATGTGCTTTTTTTCTTGTAATTGATTTCTAGTTTCATACCATTGTGATAAGAAAATACGCTTAATATAATTTCAATCTTTTAAAATTTACTGAGGCTTGTTTTGTGTCCTAATACATAATCTATCCTGAAAAATGTTCTATGTATGCTTGAAAAGAATGTGTGTGCTGTTGCTTTGGGGTAAAATGCTCTAAAATATCAGTTAAATCCATCTGGTCTAGTGTGTTATTTAAGGCCGCTGATTCCTTGTTGATTTTCTGTTTGGATGATCTATTTATTGATGTCAATGGAGTGTTAGAGTCCTCTACAATTACCCTATTAATGTTGATCTCTCCATTTATGTCTGTAAATGCTTGCTTTATAAATTTGGGTGCTCTTCTGTTGGATCCATAAATGTTTATAAGGGTTGTGTCCTCTTGTCAATTGGTTCCTTTATCATAGTCCTTTGTCTCTTGTTATAACCCTTGTTTAAAGCGTATTTTGTCTGATGTAAGTATTGCTAACCCAACATTTTTTGCTTTCATTTGCATGATATACCTATTTCCATTCCCTTACTTTCAGTCTGTGTGTACCTTTGAATCTGAAATGAGTCTCGTATAGACCAGATATGTATGGGTTTTATTTTCTTACCCATTCAGCTAAGATTGGAGCATTAAATCCATTTACATTTAAAATGATTATTGGTAGGTATGTAGTTACTGTTATTTTATAGTTTATATTTATGTACTTTAAAAAATATATCTTTATTGATTTCAGAGAGGAAATAAGAGGGAGAGAGAGGGTTAGAAACATCAGTGATGAGAGAGAATCATTGATTGGCTCCCTCCTGCATGCCTCCTACTGGAGAATGAGCCCACAACTTGGGCTTATGCCCCAACTGGGAATCGAACCCGAGACCCTTGAGTCTGCAGGCTGACGTTCTATCTACTGAGCCAAACCAGCCATGGATTTATATTCTTTTTCTTCCCTCTTCTTAAATACTAGAGGCCCAGTGCATGTATTCGTGCACTGGTGGGGCCCCTCGGCCTGGCTAGCGATCAGGGCTGATTGGGGCTATCTTGCTCAGTCCTGATCAGGGCCGATGGGGGATGGCTGGCGGGGGAGGGACTGTGGAGGTTGGTGGGCTGGGGAGGGACCACAGGACGGCTCCAGGGTGTGTCCAGCCCATCTTGCCCAGTCCTGATTGGCCAGACCCCAGCAGCAAGCCAACCTACTGGGTTAAAGCATCTGCTCCCTGGTGGTCAGTGCATGTCACAGTGGCTGGTGGAAAAGTTGAATGAAAGGTCGAATGAACAGTCAGACACTTAGCATATTATGCTTTTATTATATAGGATGTCTTTTAAATATTTCTTGTATTACTGATTTGGTGGTGATGAACTCCTTTAGCTTTTTCTTGTCTGGGAAGCTCTTTATATGTCCTTCAATTCTAAATGATAGCCTATCTCTGTAAAATAGTCTTGTTTGTATTCCCCTGTTTTTCATCACTTTGAATATTTTCTGTCAATCCCTTCTGGCCGGTAAAGTTTCTGTTGAGAAATGAGATGACAGTCTTAAGGGAACTCCCTTGTAGGCAACTAATTGCTTTTCTCTTGCTATCTTTAAGGGTCTCTCTTTGTATTTAACCTTTGGCTTTTTAATTATGATGTGTCTTGGTGTGGGCCCGTTTAGGTTCATTTTGTTGGGACTCTCAGCACTTCCTGGACTTGTGTGCATATTTCCTTCACCAGGTTAGGGAAGTCTTAATCATTGGTTCTTCAAATAGGTTTTCAATTCATTGCTCTCTCTTCTCCTTCTGGTTCCATTATGATGCAAATGATGGTACACTTGATGCTGTCCCAGAGGTTCCTTAAACAAGAATTATTTTCTTATTCTTTTTTTCTTTTTGCTGTTCTGATTAGGTGATTTTTCACTACACTGTCTTCCAAGTTGCTGACTTGATCCTCTGCTTCATTTAATTTGCTGTTGATTCCTTCTAGGATATTCTTTATTTCAGTTATTGTATTCTTCATTCTGACTGAAGGTTTTTATTTTTATGGTTGCTGTTATTTTTTTATGTTTTCTATGTCTTTGCTGAAGTTCTCACTAGATTCATTAGGCATCTTAGCAGCCAGTTTTTTGAACTGTGTATCTGGTAGATTGCTTATCTTCATTCCATTTAGTTCTGGAGTTTTCTCCTGTTCTTTCATTTGGGACATGTTTCTTTGTCTCTTCATCTTGGCAGCCTCCCTGTGTTTGTTTCTATCTATTAGGTAGGGCTGCTACATCTCCCAGTCTTGGCAGACTGGCCTTATGTAATAGGGGTCCTATGTGGCCCAGCGGTGCAGTCTCCTTGGTCACCTGAGCCAGGTGCTCCAGGAATGTTCCTTTTATGGGTTGTATGTGCCCTTCTGTTGTAGCTGAGCCTTGATTGCTGTAGCACATTCGTAGGTGGGGGCTGACACTCAGGTTCACTTGCTTTGAAAACTTGCCATGACCACAGTGGGGCTAACCCCACAGATCAGAATTTGCCCCAGCAGGGCTGTGGTTGTTTCATTTGTAGAGCTAATCGGGTGGTGCTCTGTTGTGGTCTGAAGCCAGCCACCAGGTGTGTTGGTTCTTGGGCCTCTTGAGAGGGGCTCTGGTGCATGCCTAGGTCCGCCACTGCCTGTGTCTGGCCCAGTGCTACTTGGGAAGGACTACAAAGTAATTTTCAGTTTGTAGCTGCCTGTGCTGAGCCCAGAGGTGCATGGGAGAGGCCACACGTGACTCAAGGCTGGTTGCCACCAGAGCTGGGCAAGAGGCATAGGGAGCACTGAGTATTTGTGAGTGAGTCTGTGCACAGGCTCTTTAAGAGGACACCAGTGTTTCCAGCAGTCCTCTATCTTACCAGGACAGAATCCCCACCAATGTTCACTCCTGTGGACACTCCTCTTTCCAGCACGGGAGCCTTGGGATGTGGAGCCCTGTGTAGGGCTGGGACCCCTTGCTCCCTGTGAGGAATTATGCAGCCACTATATCTTTCCCAATTATCAACTGCCACGCATGGGTATGAGACCAGCCTTGTTTGTGTCTCTTCCCCTTCTACCAGCCTCAAGGCTTCTTCTTTAATTCCTTAGTTGTATGACTTCCATTCAGCTAGATTTCAGGTAGTTCCGAGCGATGGCTGTTCTGTAGTTTAGTTATAATTCTGACGTGGATGAGGGTGAAGGTGAGTACAGCATGTCCCTACTCTGTCATCTTGTCTTGCACCTCATGAATTATTTTATTGTCCTCCTTACCTTTTGTTTGTCTTTTCTTGTTTTCTTCTTCTTTTTTCCCTTTTGGAAATCTTTCTACTTTGAAATATCAGTTACAAAAAACTTAAGAATGGTACATGCTCTTTGCCCAGTTATCCCAAATGTTAACATTTGAACACATTTGCTTTATGACTCTCTCTTTCTATACATATTCATACTTATATATGTACACATATGTGTATACACATACATATATTTAAATTTTTAAAAATTTGTTGTTGATACACATGTCCCCCATTTGATGTTGAATCACATCAACTAGTGTTCTAATTTTCTTATTTTTTCTTCTATTTCCCATTCTTCTTACTCTACTTTCTTAGATATTTTCTCAAAATATCTTCCATATTATCTGTAAAGTTTTTTATTTTTGTTATCAGAAAATTACAAAAGCTCTTTATGTTTGTACAGTGTCCTTTTCTTTCAGCATTCTATTCTTATTTTGTGGCTGTTGTATCTTCTTTTATATCTGAGGTTGCTAACAATTTTTAAGAATTTTTTTCCTTTGCATAGTTATTTCCTCTGTTATCACTTTCTGTTTGTTTGCTTTGATCTCTGTCTTTCATATTAGATGCTTTCTTACCCCCTTAAGTATCTATAACCCTTGACTGTCAGCTCATGAGTTGGTAGCAGACCAAAGAGCTGATTGGAAACTTTGAGCTTGAGGGGGTCCCTTTTCAACCTCAGTGAGTTGTTTGTTAGAAAACAATGCCAGTGTCTTAGATCTCTCACATTGGTTTGTCATATTCCCTAGACAGTGTCTACCAAACTCCTGCCTGAGGGATAAAGGTCTGGTTGCCAGCATTCAGGCTGTGAGTCTCAGGATCCCATATTTAGTATGACGAAATAACTTATTTCCATTGTTTATGGTCTATATGCACCCCCTCAATTGTGCTGGTTGAACCCTAGTCCAGAGGCCTTCTGTCTTACCCTTCGTAGAGAACAAACCTTCAGTCTTCTGCCGCAGGTGTGAGAGGAGCAGTGGCACGCAGCATGACGTGGAGAAGGGAAGAATCCAAACTGGAGGCTGGAAGGAGTGGCCAGTGAAGGAGAAGGACAACCAGGAGCGAGTGGTGTCCCCGAGACAACTGAGACGCGGTTTCGGGGAAGAGGGGGTGATTGTTTCTGCCAAATAGTCTGGTGAGTGAGATGAGGATAGAGAACTTACCATTGGACCTGGCAAAGCAGAAGTCATTGGTGACTTTGCTGAGCGATGTCTTCTGGGGTAAGGAGGACAAAAACCCGGTTGGAATGATTCCCCATCTCAAGGTCCTTAACATAATCAGATCTGCAGTGTTCCTTTACCATGTAAGGTAACATATTCACAGCTTCTGAGATTAGGATGTGGACATCTTCGGGGGCCATTAGGCTGCCTACCACTATGGCTTTAGCTCTTTTTAAAGTTTCTGATCCTCAATTTCTTTACCTGAAAGATGGGATAATCATACCTCCTTTGAACTCAACACATAATAGATATGAAAGTTAACAAATTTCCTTTTCTCATTTCTTCACCCAACTCTGGTCCCTGGCAGGAGCGTTCCTCGTAAGGCCTCAAGGTAAGTTAAGAAAGGGTAGGAGACCAGCCAGGCACCTCACCTCACCTAAGGGCCCCTAGTGTAGCAAGCTTCCCCTCCCACCCTGCCAGACTCTCTGTGTGGGTCCTCTAGAGCACCTGGTGTGACTGTGGTTGTTTCATCTGGTCTGAGGGGCACAGAGGAAAAGGCGTGTGTACCTGTGGGTGGGAGAGAGTGAGAACAGCCAGGGCCCACGCACCCAGCGCCTCCAGACTGAAGTTCCTCTAGGAAAGGAGCCCTGTTGATTTTTCCTCTTACTTATTCCAGACATCGGCTGAATGCTTTACAAATATTACTGCATTTAATCCTCAAAACAATCTTATAAAGGGGTTCTATTATTACCTGCATTTTATAGATGAGAAAACCGTGACTCAGATTATGCCGCTCCCGTGGGTAGCACGGGCAGTGCGCCGCAGAGCTGGGAAGGGGCCCAGTCCGCTCTTCACTTCGCTGCAATACTGCTCTGGGGAAAATGCTTGCACAGTTCAGGCTACAAAACAGGCCACCTCCCCCTCTGCCCCCGGCACCCCACCCTCCCCCACTTCCCTTTCCTTAGGGCCAGCAGGGATGAGCATCTGCCCCAAAGGGCTGCTGTCCACTCGCCCTCCAGGCCTGCTGGGGCCTCCCTGGGACAGTCTTCCCCGATGGCCTGCCCCGCAGAAGCCCAGCCTCCTCCTGTGTGTGCTCCGGGAGCTGAAATTACCCACCTCGCCTGGTCCATGTCACTCTGTAAGCTAGTACCTGACCCTCCGCCTGAGGGCAGACACCACATGGCTTGTTCCTGGGTGTCTCCCTCAACCTCCTTCAAAACTTGCCTTTCTCTGTATCTGATGGCAGGTGCGAATCCTTTCCCCAGAAAAGTGTTTGTATGTTTGTGTTGAACTTCTAGGAGGTCACGGACGTCCTGAAATCCGCCCACAGACTCTGTAGTGGTCCCTGGCTCTCCGGTTAGGAACCCCTGAGCCATGTGAGACAAGCCCGGACCCTGAGCATGTGCTCTGCATTCTGTGAGGATGAGCCGTGCAAGGAGGGACCGGGGCAGGCGCTCAGCTAAGAAACATGCATCCTGCGGGTGCCATGGGGGGTTGGGGGTGGGGGCTGCTGTGGGCACTGGAGGCCCTGCCCACAGGGAGCTGCCTTGGAGTGGGGAGGCAGCACGGACAGCGATGTGTCCATCAGAGCATCAGGAGCCCTGGGACCAGGGCAGCGGCTGCTGGGGTCCAACCCCAGCAGGTCCAGGGGTCCCCAAAGGTGTGGACGGAGTCGGCGAAGAAGAAATGACACAGAGACAGCGTTCAGTTGATCAGCAGCCTAGCCAGGATCTCTAGCCAGGATCTCCAGCCAAGTTCTGTTCAGGATCTCCAGCGAAGTTCTGCTTAGGATCTCTAGCCAAGTTCTGGTTTGGTCCTCTCACTAGGTTCTCCAGCCAGGTTCTCCAGGTGCTCCAGCCAGGTTTGGTCGCCAGATTCTGTAGCCGGGTTCTTCAGCCAGGTTCTGGCTAGGTTCTCCAACCAAGTTCTGTCTAGGATCTCCAGTGAAGTTCTGGTTAGGATCTCCAGCCAGGTTCTGTGTCCATGATCTCTTGCTAGGTTCTCCAGCCAGGTTTTCCAGGTTCTCCAGCCAGGTTCTGTCCAGTTTCTCCAGCCAGGTTCAGTCACCAGGTTCTAGTCAGGTTCTCTTGCCATGTTCTATCCAGGTTCTGTAGCCAGATTCTGTCTCTAGGTTCTTCAGCCAGGTTCTCTTGATAGGTTCTGTCTCTAGGTTCTGTGGTCAGTTTCTGTCCAGGATCTTTTGCCATGTTCTCTCCAGCAAAGTTCTTCTGTCTCTAGGCTCTGTGTCTAGGTTCTGTGTCTAGGTTCTGTGTCCTGTTATCTTGTTACATCTGTATTTATACCAGTTGATTCCAATCCTATCAATCTCTATTCCAAAGGTTAGGGAGTTTCTTATCTCCATTCCAGGGAGTAAAGATTATGTAGCTTAAGCATGATTGTTCGTAGTTAAAGTGATTAATTACCTGCCTGGCACTTAGTTAAGGGGTTTTATTCCCTCCCTAACATCAGGGGAAAATCCCTACCTGGGGAAACAACCTTTCTCAGAGAGGTGACCTTGGTTAAAACACATAGTGCCAAGAAGGTGAGCAAACATATTAAGAACAGTATGCCATATATGCCAGGTCCCTTGAAACAGCAAGGATGGACCGGCTCCTGGCAAGCGGCCAGATCGTCAGGGACACACAGACCGCGGGAGGATGTGCAATGTCGTCCTGAGATTACAAGAAGGCCGCGGTGGATCAGATTCGGAAAGACCATTTGGCTGCTGTGGGCAGAGCTGACTGTGGGGGGGCCACAGTGGCAACAGTAGGTACCCAGAGCCTAGGACTCACCGGGGCCCCAAGGCCAGGGTATGAGACTGCAACGCTGGGAGCCTATGCTGGCTCACCAAGTCCACGCCAGCACTCCCAGCTTCAGCGTGGGGCCCGGAGATGGCACAACACTAAGTCTGCGTTAGGGCACAGCCGGTCACAGCCCGGTCCCCAGACTCTCCAGGCGGGGTTCTCAACATTAGAAAATTAACAAAATACTGACTTTTAAAGAAACAAATGGGAGCTATCACGTATATTCCCAGTACTTAGACAGCTATTGTTAGCGTTTTAGTTTATATCCTTTCAGCCTTTTTTAATGCGTGCACACATATTACACCTAGAATAATATATTCAATGTATTTATGCTACATCCAGAATATTAGATTATATATACGTACAAAACTAAAAGAAAAATGAATTCATGTTGGCATATTGCCTTGTAAATAAATCACAAGATTATTTTTTCTTTTTCTTTCTTTAAAAAAAATCTTTATTGTTAAAAGTCTTACATATGCCTCCCTCTTCCCCTCATTGGCCCCTTCTAGCCCCCCTGCCCCACCCAGGCCTTCACCACCAGGTTATGCATACATGCACACAAGCTCTTTGCTTGATCATTTCCCACCCACCACCCCTGCCTTCCCTCTGAGATTACCTTTTAGGCATTGAATATTTTGCTATACTTTGTACCATTATTTATTTGCCCAATCCTTTATTGTTGAATAACAAATGGTTTTCAATTTTTGCTGTTATGAACAGCTCTGAGAGAAACGTTTACCACTATACATGGATGATTTTTAAAAATAAAGCCCTACATGTGGAATTTTTAGATCCCAAAGTAAGAAAAAATTAAGCAAACTAGGATTTGGCAAGCCCATGCTAACCTCCACTTTCAGCAGCGTGAATGCGGTGCCCGCTCATGCATGCCCTGGCCGGGACGGGCATCGCCTCCCCAGCGCCCCTTCCCTTCCTGGCTATGCCACGGGAGGGAAGCCAGCCTCACCTTGGGCTCCCCATATGCTCCTCCTGCGAGTGGGTGAGCTTTGGGAGGTTGGCAGTGGGAGGGGCGGCTGGAGGTGGTGGTACTTGGGAGAGAGAGGGCTGGGAGCGCTCTCCTGGGCGTGTGGCTGCGCTATTGGAGTTCTGGCCACGGAGCTCAACGGTGCAAGCACATGACCCTTGTTCTGGGCTGACGTGTTGGGCCAACGGAGGCCAGAGGTGGGTCTGGAAAACAGGGGGTGAGGGTGAAACAAAGGGGACACCCCATTGTTGGCTCCAGGAGCTGCAACAGAAGCAAATATTTGGAGGCCAGGATTGCTTTGCTTTCTCCTTGAGATCAGCAGACTATTGGAGGCTGGGATTAATTTGAAGAAATTTACTAGCAGAGTTTGTGGCAGATAAAACAGTTTGCTTATTTCACACTTGTATGGCCACCTGCTAGGAACTGTTTGTTCAGTTTCGGATTCTTTAATTAAAATCAACATAAAACAGATTGAAAACATCCCAAGAAGGGGATGCTTGATTTGCTGGAGGATATCGCAGAAAGATGGAGCAAATGGGTTCAAAAAGTGCTTCGTCACCAAGCGAGCAGGCGGGTGGGAGCGGGCAGCCTGGACAAGGGTGGGGTGTGAGCACGCGCATGTGTGTGCGCACATGGCTGTGGGGAGGAGGCGGGAACTCACAGGAGTCCTCTTCCCTCTTCGGCCTTTTCCGTGAAGCTGGTGGGCGGGGCTGGGAAAGTGAGAGTCCTCTTGCTTTTACTGGTTGGAAAAGGTCAGCTACAGTTTTTCTTCTAACAAACAGTCACTGAGTCCGTGTCAGAAATTGTGAGTAACATGCAATCCCTAACCTCAAGAAGCTCGGAATCCTGTGAAGGAGACAGAAAAGTGAAATGGAAATTATAACCCAGTGCGTGCCCAGTGTGGTGAAAAGTGCCAATGTGGGGTGCCGTGGGAGCCCGGGTAGCCCCTCAGCCTGGACTGTGGGAGCAGCAAGGGCTCTGGCCAAACTGGCGAGAAGAAATGACATCCATCTCATCCGAGGCCTAATGATGGGCTGGACATGATTCCGGTTCAAATGATGTATCAGTGAGTGATTACTGCAACATGCTGTGTAACAAGCATGTATGCTGTCCCCCTGGCCTATCACAATGACTATTTGTTTAGTTCTTGCTTCTGTGAGTTGGCTGAGGCAGGCCTCGGGGTGATCTAACGGTGGTGGAAAGAGCACACCCAAGTGAGCCCCCTCACACGGCACTTAACCTTTAGTCAGATCGCTCCCACTAACATTCCATTGGCCAAAGCAAGTCAGAGGGAACGGGCATATGTTCTGCTTCTTAGTGCGATCACACCCTCCACCTCTGTGGAATGCTGGCAAGGAATGCCGTGTGCCCGGGAGACGGTTGCGTGGAGTTGGGGAGCTGTTTCAGGATGAGGAGCAGCACACACAGGATAGGGCTGGCGCCCGGGCCCTGCGCAGGGGGAGCACGAACACGCAAGGCTGGAGGCTCCTGGAAAGGCCCGCAGGAGGAGACGTGAAGGGAAGCCTTTGCCCGTATCCCCAGGCCCTGAGGAGGCACGGGAGGGTTTTGAGCCGGCGGGGGTGTAGGGGGAGGTGAGATGGGCAGCACACACCTCAGGGTGATCCCTCAGGCCTCAAAGCAGAGGCTGGGATGCAGGGGTCAGAGGGGAAGGTCAGACCAGTTAGGACACCAGGTCACCCAGGTGTCCTTGTTCCTGCGGAGACTCAGGCTGTTTGGCTGCTCCTGGTTTTATAACGGTTTTTCCAAATGTTCACCAAGTTTCAACGCTTGGTATGCCAGGATGTGCAGGAGCCTGCTGCGGCCAACACAACCGGGTCAGCTGAGCTGGAGAGGCAGTGAGGAGTTCGGGGGTCCTGAGGCATCCCACCTATCTTGGCCTTGACACGGTGCAGCCCTCTGGACCTCGCTGACACTCTGCAGTCCCCCCTCCACGCCCTCCCTCCCCCCCACGCTCCTTAAGGCAGAAGCCAGAGGCCACTGTCCTGGTAAGAACCACTCCGCCGCACTGAGAGGGTGAGCCCGCCCCTCCCTTCCTGTCTGAGCTGTACCGGTA